AAGCAGGTTGTGCCCCTGCAGCACATGGAGGTCCACATGTCCACCCACAGCCCACGGAGGACCCCACATCCGAGCGGGTGGATGTGCCCCGAAGGAAGCTCTGACCCTGTGGTGAGCCTGTGCTGGAGCAGGCTCCTTGCAAGACTTGTGGCCCCATGGAGAGAAGCCAACATGGGAGCAGGTCATCTGACAGGACCTGTGACCCTGAGAGGGACCCACACTGGAGCAGGCTGCTCCCGAAGGACTGCACCCTGTGGGAAGGACCGATGCTGCAGCAGTTCATGAAGAACTGCAGCCTGCAGAAAGGTCTCGTGTTGGAGAAGTTCAGGGAAGACTGTCTCCCATCGGTGGGACCCCACGCTGGAGCAGGGGGAGAGTGTGAAGAGAAAGGAGAAGCAGAGACACGTGATGATCCAACCACAACCCCCATTCTCCGTCCCCCTGTGCTGCTCAGGGGGAGAAGGTAAAGAATTCAGGAGTGAAGTTGAGCCTGGGAAGAAGGGAGGGGTGGGGAGGAAGGTGCTTTAAGATTGTTCTTATTTCTCATCATCCTGCTCTGATTTAGACAGGTAATAAATTAATTTCCCCAAGGTGAGTTTATTTTGCCTGTGACTGTAATTGCTGAGTGATCTCCCTGTCCTTACCCGGACCCAGCAGCCTTTCATTACATTCTCTCCCCCCCACCTTGTGGAGGAGGAGAGTGCTAAGTGTCATGGTGGGCACGTGGCAGCTAGCTAAGCTTAACCAACCACAGAAGTACACCAAGAACATTCACACACAGGGCATTCATACATGGTTCCCACTGCGTTATGGATTCCATATTGGTGCAAATTTGGGAAGTGGTCCCAAATGCAATGTGCTATACAGAGTATTTGCTTCAGCACTCTCCATTCTTACTCCTTTGCATAACAACAACGGAAGAATTTGTTCAACTACCACCTGGAACAATTTCTACCTTTGGGCCCACTGACAAGGAGTGGGGGAAGTAACTTCCCTGCTGTGCTGGAGATGAACTGTCACACCATCGGTCAAGGAGTGCTGAACAGAATAGTTGGAGGAATGTAAGGCTGAAATGTACCTTTTGTCCACCATGATAGAAAATGTGTTTAACTTGCACGAGCTCCCTCATAAAAAGACATGAGGGGCAGGATTGCCTCACTGTTCTGACTGGGAGTCTTACGGTATGCTGTTACTCTGCCAGTCCAAAATTTTTTCCTTGTGTTCTGTCTTGATGCATTCACGGCTGCTCTACACCCACTGAGTTTACAGTCAACACCAGTTTCAGTACCTTTTCTTCATGGTCCTGGCCACTCACCAACCTAATCCACAGCAATGAAATCAGGCTTTTTTTTTTTTTGCTAAACAAAGCAAGCCATCTCCTTCCGATTTCCTCCCAAAGGAGGACTCTTCCACTCCCTGCTCCACCGTCCTTTCTTTTCCT